GAATTGTTTTGTTATCAATCTCAAGTGGAAAGTTTTGTAATATCATTGGCAAAGTCTCTTTGACTTTGGTACCTTGACATTAAAAAAGATATATTGCATGATATTTTAGAATCTAACACATTCTTATAGTGGCAAGAATTAGGTATTCTTACACTAAGTAATAAGGATTTGGAATTCTGAAATGAGCATCATTGAAATGTTTTCAATTGATATATTTCACAAAGTAAGGACCAAATAAAACATATTGTGCATTCTTGGAGCATGGGATAACTATTTTTTTAATTTAAGTATTAAGTTGATTAATAGAAACGTTATAAAATGAATAATGTGTAATCAATATGGTGATTGAATAAAATGTGTTTTATTTATATTCAAAAGTATTGAGACCATATTGAATTCGATTATTATTGTGTTTCACTTTGCATGTTTTTACTTCCCGAATAATAAGATTATTCAAACTATCCACAGTCGATCATACTTTGGAAGTAGGTATTGAGGTAAGATTGTCATGAATCCGTCTGTAGATTGTCTAAAGTATTTAGACATAGCACACGTTTGTTACAGTATTCATGAGTACTCCTGTAATAAGATTTGAGTATTGGATTAAACCCAAGCTCAACTAAATCACTTCATGGATTTCATCACTAGTGATTGTGAGACAATAATATCTTATATTCTTGAAACGGAGACATATAGTTGCAGTTTACAAGTCAGTTGCACATTGATGATATGTAAACACGCCAGTAACTTGGTGTCATAAAAATATTGTTGTGTGTGATTTGATGAGTAATTGGATCAAGCATATGATTCGAAGTTTATCCGTTCCTTTTACCCTAAGAGGGATAAAAGCGATATTTGTGGGCCCCTCGATGATTTAGTGATGACACCCTAAGCGCCTGGCCAAGCATGGACTGATTTGATTTGTTCAATTAGTCTGTCGTCATAAATCGGAAATCGGTAAACAACACATGAAGAAAGAGAATGATTATAACCCATGTATCAGTTCATATAATATCTTCTAGAATGGAAGAATATATGATAACTTATCTAAAGGACGTGTCAGAGTTTGACAGCAACTTTTAAGAGCTACGATTGCTACTCAGGTATTGGAGTCGTACTTGTAGTTATAGTTATTAGACTTATCCAAGTGGGAGACTGTTGGATTAGTGTCTAAGCACATAAATATATTTGGTATGTAGTTAACCCGAGCGTAGCATGGTCCTTTTGGGTTGCATTTGCAAGAACAATCTGATAGGATGGATATTTGAAAAAAAAGAAAATTATGATTTATTAATATATTATAACTATAATATATTGATAGAGAAATTATATTATCTAATTAATATTGATCAAGAATTAATTTGGAATTAATTTAGTAATCTAAAGAGACTAATTAAATTAACAGGGACTAATTATGTAAATCAGTGATACATATGGTTTGGGCTATTGATCCATGATGGACTAAGATTATGTGAGAGTCCATGAAGAGTTAGTTCATATGTGTTATTTGTAGCACCCCGAGATTCAGGTACATTTATTCCACCCCTATTCTTTGTCAATTGGTCATGATTGGTCCTTGAGTGGAAGAAGCCTTACAAGTGAGTACGTTGGGCGTACCAAAGGGGTACGTTGCGCGTACTCATGCTCTTATTTTGGACGTGGAGTCACTATGGTACGCTGGGCGTACCCATAGTTACGTCGGGCATACCCAGCCTAGATGCAAAACCCTAATAAGACTTGTGCACTATTTAAAGGATGCTAAGGCTCATTCCTCAGCCTCCATATCAGTGAGTAAAACCCTAAGAGAGAGCCTTCCATCATCCTTAGTGAGTGAGTGAGTGTTCTTGGAGATAATAGTGCCTTGGTGTGTTAGTAAAGAAGGAAGAAAGGAGCTTGTGGAGACTAAAAGCTTGAAGTGCAAGTTTGGATCTGAGATCTACAGAGAAGGGAGCTGCATTTAGAGGTATCAAGTTCAAAACTTTCCTCTTCATTTTGGTTTGTTGTTGCATGTGCCATTTCTAGGGATAAAAACCCCAAAGGTGGAGACTTTATGAGTGTAAGGTGCTCCATGGTCCGATATCTGTCCCTTTTCAGTAGTATTTGTGGTCTAGATCCATAAAGTTCCCATCTTGGTCGTTGATATGAGGTCATGCTTGAGTTCTATGCTTTCTAGGGTTAGAGAATGAAATGTTTTGGGTGCTATTGACTTATTCAGCCATGCAAAGGCTTAAAGTCATCGACTTTATGGTTTAAGAGGCTTAGAAATGGTCAGATCTAAAAGTTGGACGTGGGTCTTAACTGTTTAAGACCCCAAGAGCTGAAGGACTGAATCTGGGTATTACGTCGGGCGTAATTCCAGTACGCGCAGCGTAAGGGGTGGCGCACCCCAGTCCACTGAAGGTGTCGGTTACGCCCAGCGTAAATGATTGGTACGCGCAGCGTAACCTGTAGGGTTGACTTTTGTTGACTTTTAGGGTTTGGTCAACTTTAGGGTATTTGAGCCATGTGAGGGGTAAATTGGTCTTTTACCCTCACGAGAGTATTAAGAAAAGGGATGGTCTATCCTTGGGAAATGTGTTGATGTTGAGTGCTATTTCATGTGATTAGGCGGAGGCTAGATCTTATCCTAAGGAGTCCGAGATTTCTGAGATTTACAAGTTACCGAGCTACACGAGGTGAGTCTTCCCACTATACGTTACCTAGAGTGGTATTTATGTGGACCGGAGGGTCTTATGTGTTATGTATGAGATTATGTGAATCTATGTGCTATGTGATATTTGTATGTTATATGACTGTAAAGACCGGACCGGAAGGTCCAATGATACAGACCGGACCAGAGGGTCCAACGATTCAGACCGGGCCGGAGGGCCTAACGAGCTACGGGACTAGAAGGTCCCGCTGAGACACATCGACCGGAGGGTCGTACCGTAGCCTTGAGTGGCGTATGTGTTGTATCTGGTATTTTGGGGAACTCACTAAGCTTTATGCTTACAGTTGTTGTGTTTTGTGTCTCGGGTACTAGCGAGGACCGTGGGAAGGCGCCGGCGTGACCCGTACACATTAGAGACAGGATTTGATGTTTTTGAGATCTTGGGATATGTTATGTTTTGATGACTCTTGTTGAATGCTTTTGAGAATATTTTTACATAAACTTGGTTGTTGAAAAATGAAAAAAAAATGTTTTAAAAATCTCATCGTTACATTATTGGATCATAAGCCTAAGTGTAAGAATTAGGGTTTACATTTAACTCTTGGAATTCTACACTATATATGTATTCCCTAAACCCTAAAATCGGCACTTGTGTATTTCATGAAGAGGATAGCCGATTTTGTATCACCAAACCTCTCTCTCAAGTCCTCCAATTGTTCATGGTGTCTTGTGATTCCATTAGAGGTGCAAAATTTGAGGCACTGAGCTCTTGAAAGGCCAAAAATTCTACAAGCTACAGCAAAGAGGTATTTATCTAACTTATTTTATGTTTTCAAATATCAAGTTGTATGCTAGTTATAGGTTTCATGCATTGGATACTTTTGTTGCATGTATAACTAGAGAAAACTTAGATCCAAAGCATTAGGATTGTATGTGCAACATAGAGATGTTAGAGAACATAAAACCCATCAAATTATTCATTTTACATTGGATTCATGAATTAAAACAACATTATTTTAGTTGTGGGACTGTAATATCTATAAATAATGGTTTTTGGCATCCGAAAAGGTTACATAGTTTTAGAATGTGATAATCATAAATATAAAAAAAAATGTACGAATTCAAAATGTAATATATTAGTCTATTATATAGGCTTTATAACATTGTATATTGCACTATTTATTTATAAAACTAAAGAAATTTTCTATCCAAACTAGTTTGAATTAGTCATTTTGATCCATATGGTAGTAAGTCCTAGAAAAAAAATTAACTTGTTTTCCAAATCTTCGAATTTTCAATTGTTATTATAGTAAATTAGGATGACATTTGTAAAAGTTGTTTAAATCTATTAAACCTTTTATATGGTTTACCAATTTAATTTGAAACACTCTTTTTCCATAAAAATAATTATACATATTTTTTAAATTTGTTATTTATGTATTCTATATGAAAGATAAAAGGAGACATAAATGTTTAATTGAGAAGTCTCCTTCAATGTAAATTGGAAAAGAAGTTAGGAAGAAGATTGACGTACACATTAATCTCGTTTGAACTTAAATAGTTGGATTCTTTACAAAATAACATAAAGATCTTTAGGTTGAAATACTTCATACTATGAAATTGACTACTAAGTTAATTAAATAGTAAAATATGTTTTCTTTATTTGTCATTGACTTTAAGTGCAATTTTAATCATATACTTGCTTTTGAAGAGACACAAAATGATACAATTATGATATAATAGCTATGTATAAAGTTAAATTATAATGAAATAATTTCAAATTATTTAATAAAATATAAACAAATATAAAATTATTACTTATGTCAACTCAAACAAGTTGTACAATATATAAAATAGTGGTACTAATGTATAGTTTTAAACGTAAACCGGCTAACATGATTACAACTTAACTATCATATTTAATAACTACACATATAAATCCATAACTACACACACACACACACACACACACACACACATATATATATATATATATATATATATATATATATATATATATATATATATATATATATATATATATATATATATATATATATATATATATAGAAGTCATGATACAAAGTTTCGAGTCAAAAATGAAATATTAAGAAAAGATATACAATGTATTTTAAGCTTTCAAAGGTTGTTACTGTATTGTTTTTTATTTTCACAACTGACATTGTTTGTGATAAAAAGCTTGTTAGAGAAGAGAAAAATCCTAGAATGTAGTGAGGACATTATTAAGAGTGGTTGTCATTCAAAAACAAACTTATCATGCCGTGTTCGTGATCAAATATATGGAGCAGGGCATGTTACAAATTACATTCAAGATGAGATCATCAAAAAGATGCGAGGAAAGGGCCAAGGTAAAGGGGAAGCAATGTCAAAAGGAAGTATAATAGTAAATATGGATGATGATAGTCAATTGAAGAATGGAGATGCTATCAATGAAATTAATATAAGAAAAATGACAACTAATTCAATCTACGATGTTTCACTTAGCACGGCAACTAATACCAACCAACAATATGCAAATCAATATCCTAACACTCAAGTGTCGTCTAATGGAATGTTTAACAAAAAAGATGAAGGTGGAGGTGGTGGAGGAGGGGGAGGCGGATTTGAAGGTGGAGGCGGAGGAGGAGGAGGAGGTGGTGGTGGTGGTGCTGGAGGAGGAGGCGGTGGTGTTGGAAAATAATCTACAATAAATTCAAATGAAACTTCTATCATAATAAATGATAAATTATGCATTGTTTGAATCTATATAAGATATGCATGTATTATCCCATTGTGTACTATACAAACATAATTCAATTAATAAAGACATTGATGTTATATATTTATATATATCTTATTGTAACAAAAATGTGGATTTACATAATAAGTTAGTTATATTACTAGTAATACATATGCATATTGCATTGCACACAATCTGCAATCTAAAATACATTTATATTACTAATAATACATATGCATATTGCATTGCACACAATCTGCAATCTAAAATAAAATCTGCAATCTAAAATAGAGAGAATAATAAATATGTGATAGTTTCTTATTTATTAATAGTTTGGTAGTTTAATAAAAAACTATTAAAGCTATGGACTAGATTTTCTACTAGTCGAATTTAATTAAACACTACATAATTATCTATTTATCTAATAGATAATTATGTTACAATTTTAACTGGATTGCTTTGTGATCAATAAAAATTATGGAGAACCTTTATAAGGTTTCCGTTTCGCAACCAAATGTTAACGTCTTCCATTTGGTTTATCTATCTCTCTCTCTCTCTCTCTCTCTCTCTATATATATATATATATATATATATATATATATATATATATATATATATTGTCACTCTTCCTCAAACATTCAACGAAATCTAAAACCCAAGATAAGGTGTATCTCTTACTCATTTAACAAGAAAGTGACATATTTATCTATGAATCTCTAGGGGTTAAGATTAGCACGACAATGAAGAAGTGTTGAGAGAAGAACTTAGTCATGGAGATTATGATCCGGATTTAAAGTTAATCTCATGGATCGTTTGGTTAGCTAAAAAATAAATAAGTATGGAATTATAAGAAAAGCTTATATTGGAAAGATAACATCAACATAATTAAATAAATATTTGCAAGATATATGAAGCCTTGTTGAATTGTAACTAGGTTTGGATGCAAACACTAAGTTAGTAAATGAATAAAACAAAAGCATAAATAGAGATAAGGAGGCTTTGAATTTCATATAAACTGACTACAAAGAAGAAATGAAGTTTAGACACACTTTTGAATACTAACTCACACCATCTATTCATGATGAAACAACGTACTAGCTATTGACGGGATAATACAAAAAAAAGGTATGGAGAACAGGCGGCCATGTTTTGCATGTCTGTTCCGACAAACATCATGAAACACTTAAGGTCATAAAAATTTAGCTATTGTACTCTACTCCTCGCAAGACAAAAACACTTGAACTCTTTGCATTGTTTCCTGATCTCTAGTCTTCACATATATTCACCAACAATATTCTTCCTATAACCAGAATACTTCTCAAATCTATATACTTTAAAAATTACTTTTCATGTTATTTGAACTCATTATCTTCCAAGGGTCACTTTATGCATCAACTATTCCCCTAAGTTACCTTGAAACTAATACCTTCATTTATCATGTTTGAGAAACTTGATGAGAATCTTCCAAAATTTCCTTTTAAAAACCAACCATGTAATCCTTTCTTGCAATTGTTCTTTCACTTCTTTGTTTGTGTACATGGATTTGTTGACGACTCGAAGTACTTCATCTAGTAGCTTGTTTGTACAACAATGGAGAGCACTTATGGGGAGAAGATTATTCGTAGTCTTTTTTCCAAGAAGAAAGATAATGCCAACCTCCGGAGAGTCTGTGGCTCCAAAATTTATTTCTAGGATTCCTTCAACTCTCACCATGGCTTATTCAAATGGAGGGAGATTCACTCTATTGACGAGCATTGGGTGAATCTTGAAATTAATAGTTGCAAAATCACAGACAAGTGATCTAAGGAAATCAAAAGCTTTGGCATATATTGGTTTTATCATGTAGTGTTTTTTGATTCTATGACCGAAGAACCTAATAAAAAGGAAAATTTATTCTTGATCATGTTAATGAAGTTGGTTTGATATCTATTATAATCAACACCTTTGCAAATAAGCATTTTTTAATGATCCAAACTTTAAGGTGTTGACTCCCTACTGTCTGACATTTGGCCAGATGTCTTTGATTTCTTTTTCGTTTTTGTTGTCGAATTGATACCATATTTTAAATTCCATTTGAATTCTTATGCAGCCAGGAATTATGAGATAAAATTATTCACGAACATGGAATAATTGGTAATTGCGGGATATACGGATATCCCAGTACATTTCATCTCCAGGATTTGTGAATGTTAGAGGACGAGCATAATCTTCTTCGATGAGTTTGAAGATAGGATTTTCCCATGAATTGATAAGGGATTCATCTATGTAAATTGATGGGTTTTGGGCGCTACATCAATCCTATGGTGTACATGCAAACCCTAAAGTTTTGGATCTAGTTTGTCTAATGAGCATGCAATAATCATCCAAAGCTCATAAACCCTAGATCTAGCATATAATAATCGATATTATCATAAAAAAGGGTTTAGATATTACCTTGATTGTTATGTAGTAATAACAATCTCAATTCCTCTTGATCTTGACCTTTGGAAATGTTTCCATGGGTTTTCTTCTTACTACGAGGGTAGATAAGTAAGTCATTACATGGAGAAATGACGAAGTGATACCAGTAAGAAAGATGTACCCTACTCGTTTAGCTCATGAAAGCTATGGGCGTATTGGTCCTATCCGAAGGGTATCACTACGGACTCGAAGTGTCCGCATCGAATTCAGAAGATAGTCTTCCGGACATCCTTCCCTAACACTCGAACTGGTCATATTCGGATCTCAGATCCATTTTTAAAAGTAATTCTTTTCATGTGTTTTCTCAACCATCTCATCTATGCGAGGCAGAGATAATGATTTCTACTGGAAAATCTTGACGGAGTCCTCGATATCCGAGGCACATACGATGCAATCCGTCGATCTCTGGAAGAATAAGACCGGGGTTCTCCAGGGTGAGAAGCCTAGTCTTCTAATTCTAATTCTGTGTAGTTCGCTAAGTTGTTTGTACTGTTCTTGTATCTCCGGAGTGTTTAGACTGTAGGGCGATCTGTTTACAAGAGTCGTATTGGGTTCTAAGTTTGTTCACATGACGATGCGATTACTCGTAGGCTTAGGCAGTTCTCCGTCCTGAAGTTCATATTAGAATTCATACCTGGTTTTACAATCACACTTTCGTCTATATGAGTCTTATATAATTAAGAATGAAAAGGTAGTCAAATAACTGATTTTTCTTTAAGCTCACATCCCATCGGGGAAAAAGAAGTTAAAGTGGAATCATCAATTCTAAACATGTAGAACCTTGATTATATATCACTCTTATGCATACAATCCTCAGTGATAGATCAATCGTATAAATCCTTGGATTGAACTTGACGTACTGCACGAGTGGTACTTCGGGGATTTCTTTGGAAAAGAAAAGAACTAAGAGGTACTCCTGGCATGAGTACTTAGGTGTTCTGATATGACGGCTTCGTTGGAAAAGCGATCTAGAAGAAAGAGGTGTACGTATGAAGCTGATTGTTTCTTGATGACGACATGATTCTGTTAGCACGAAAGATAAGGATTTTGTGAGTGATTTTGGTTGACCCTAGATGTACTTCGATTGTTCAATCAAAGAGTAAGAGTATGTTCTCGAAAGGTTGACCTACATCTTTATGATGCAGTCCTAGTACGGAATGGAAGTATGTTCGCGAAGGTTTGACCTACATCCCTATGATGCAGTCCTAGTAATGGGTAGAAGTAAGTTCGTAGAATGGTCTCAAGACGTTTGTCGTTCAAGCCGAGGTATCTCAGGTTGGTGAATAACATGATCCAACCACTGAAAGAGACTTGGAAATGTCTCCGGAGCTAAATTACTATAGTCCAATGACTTGACTAAGGTACGTTCAGATGAACTCAAATGAAAGTATGATGAGTGTACTTGAATGAAGAAGGACACGGAAGTTAGCTGACTGTCAATATCTTTGATATTCATGACGTAAAGATTCGGGGAAATGACCTTGTAACGGTCTTTCATCATATTCAGAGAAGATAGTTCTTGACAGCATAAGGACCTAACCTAAAGTACTTACAGTACAAGGTAATTTCATAGAAAATGCCACATCGGGCAAAGACAGAAAAACGATTCCTTTTAATAAGGAAAATAAAGTAAAGCGTCTACTACTGGCGACGGTCAATCCTCTGGTGAACTCTCAGTTCAGCCAGTTGACGTTCCATGTTGAGCAGGTGTCTTTCGTACACCCTCTGGCGTACTCGGAGCTCTATGACTTCGGCTTGTGATTTAGCCAGTGCTTGCAACAGGGTTTCATGCTTTCTGTCTGATCTCTCGCGAGTATCTTCTAGACGAATGGTGCGGAGGGTATGTATTCTTGCATCGGCGACAACTTCGGTGATCTAATGTAGGGCTGTACTGCCTTGAATCTCATTTCAGGCCACTCTGCGGACCAAGATTGGCAAGGTTCTATCTGTTGAGCCCCCATTGCTTAGGTCGTAAAAGCTTCGGTCGCCATTAAATGGCATGGGCTGATCTTGTCCTTGGCTCCATGTTTCCAAGCATTCCACCCACTCAGGCGTCGGGCCATGAAAAGTCGGACGAGGGTTAGGAATTGGAAAGGGAGCTGCTTGGGGTAGGTTCTCAACCTCTGGTTCGGAATTAGCATCGTCCGAAAGGTTTTCATCATGGTGATCATTCAAAGGGATAGGATGATCATTCTCTAGTTCTTCTCCAAACCAACCAGCTATGACCTCATTCAGAAGGTACTGGTTGCCGAGGGGATGGAGTCCAGCCATGTTGTCTAAGCGAGAATTTGGGGTAAGAAAATAATTATTAGACGAACTATCTAGATAATTAGTTATAAAATCTTCATCAGTTACATCGCTATTTGTGAAGTGCATACCAGTTATATGTAATCGAAACAGGATAGGCCTTCGAATATGTGACCTTAACTCCAAATTCACACAGAATCGGGGTAAAGTAAAATTTCACGGATTCTAAGTCTATAACATCCTAATTACATATA